AAGCCGGCTATTTCCTCAAGACACTCTACTCCTTATACCTTGTACCAATGCTTATCCTACACTACGGATGCCCTAGTGTATGTACAGTCCGTCTGATGTCAGAAATGCTTACCCCTCTTTTCCGACTCAAGGCATACCAAAGCGGGGGGTAAATTTAACCCTCAGTTTTGCCCATCACGCATCTTCGTGCCTGCCAACGAGTGCACCTGTGTTGTTTCAATGTACCCTTCCCAGTCGGCGATGTCACATTTACATTCTTTAGCGCAAAGTATGTGCGTAGCAACCTTTCTGCCAACACATGTAATCACTACATGCTTTGCCGACTATGTAACTAGTACATCCGGTGCGATTCGGCTAGCTTTCGACCTCCTCCCCCTGGCCTCAAGTTAGCTATATAGGAACTAATAAAAGGACCAGATAACCCCACATGATAAGTTTTACAAATTTCAATTGTATATGAACATCACATGGGAGACGGAGTAGTGAGATGAAAAGTCAAGAACGAAGTGTGAGGAGAGAAGGTATATGAGGCGGTTGTGCTAAGACGTGTAGTATAAGTGATGATGTGATGGACGAGGATGAGAAGGAGGGGAGGGAGGAGGCGTGTATGAGTGAGTGAGTGAGTGAGTGAGTGAGTGAGTGAGTGGAGTGAGTGAGTGGAGTGAGTAAGTGGAGTGAGTGAGTGGATTGAGTGAGTGAGTGAGTGAGTGAGTGCGATTCGCAGCCTGTCACAACCATTGCTTTGCAAATCACAATGGCAGTAACGCACAGAACCGCAGGGGGCCCAGCGGCGACAACGCGCGCCGCAGCCCCTTCTGGAGGCTCTGGGTACTGCGCCTGCCACTGCAGAGAGCGAGGGGGGCCCAGCGGCGACAACGCGCGCCGCAGCCCCTTTCTGGAGGCTCTGGGTACTGCGCCTGCCACTGCAGAGAGCGAGGGGGGCCCAGCGGCGACAACGCGCGCCGCAGCCCCTTCTGGAGGCTCTGGGTACTGCGCCTGCCACTGCAGAGAGAGAGGGGGGCCCAGCGGCGACAACGCGCGCCGCAGCCCCTTCTGCAGTCACAGGCTCTGGGAGTGTGAGTGAGTGAGTGAGTGAGTGGAGTGAGTGAGTGGAGTGAGTGAGTGGAGTGAGTGAGTGAGTGAGTGGAATGAGTGGAGTGAGTGGAGTGAGTGGAGTGAGTGGAGTGAGTGAGTGAGTGAGTGAGTGAGTGAGTGAGTGGACGGAGGAGGGGGCGAGGAGGACGGAAGGACCGGCGGATGCGGGCGGGATGCCAGCCAAAAAACTAGAACCCCACACAGAGATGTGGGGAAAAAGAAACCTTCTCTATTCCAATGATTACTGAAACATAGAAACAAATTAGAAGTGCACCCTAACTACTACCTACCAACTACCAGCTACACCCCTCCAGCTTCGTTTGCTTGCACCTTGCGTTCTGCTTGGTGGTCGCCTTGCATCTCAGTTGCCCCCTGAGGGACCGTAAGTGCTTGTAGCAGCCTTGTTTACGCGAGCATTTGCTACAGTGCTAGTACCTGCTTGCTGCCACAACGCCGACTACTACTACTACTACTACTACTACTACTACTACTACTACTACTAC